CTGTTTTGCTCTCAGATATCATCCCGAGATTCGGGGTCCCTCTCTCTTTGCCATCAGACAATGGCCCCGAGTTTACCTCACAATTCACACAACGCATTGCTGGGGCTCGCTCGCCACATTCCCTGGAATATACACATTCCCTATCAGCCCACCTCTTCAGGCAGGTAGAATGCGGTAACCCACCCTAAAGGAGACCCTCACCAAGCTCTCCCTCACCACATCTCAACTGGGTCAAACTTCTCCCAGTCGCCCTGTTTTGCCTTAGGGCACTCCCCAAAAAGCCAACTCAAACATCCCCTTTTGAGGTGATGTATGGACGCCCACCCTTGCCCCCTGGGGTGACCCCTTCACCCTGCATTCTTCCAGAACATCTCAGTCATCCCCTTCTTAGTTTCATCCGAACACAGATTTGGAATCACCAGGAAACTCTAATACCTGATACCTCCAGGTCACATGTCTCCTTCCTCTTAACCCCAGGCGGCTGGGTATATTTCTTTCCTCCTTCTGGTGACATGCCCACCCTGACACCTAACTGGAAGGGCCCCCAAGGGTCATCTTGTGCACTCCCACCACTGCCTGCCTACAGGATCCCCAGGCAAACTGACTTCAAGGATTCACACTTCCAGGCTGAAAACCAGCCCGGCCTCCAACCAAGGGAGCCCAGCCTGACCATCCACCATCCTCCTCCCACAGATACGTCTGCTCCACCGCCCCTGAGCATCCTCTAAAGCTCCACATCTCACGCCTGAGGGTTCCTTCCCCCTTTCTGAGGAGGACCTTCCTCAGCCTGAGAAACCCTCACAACAACATGCCTCCCTCTAGCTCACCCTACTCCTTGCCACCCTCCTGGCACCCACCTTCCTCACACCCACTCCGTCTGCAGGGGATCATCGGGTTTCGAAAGGTGGAGTCTTGCTTTGTGATGTCTTGTGGTCAGCAGATTAATTGACATCTCAGCAAGTCACATCCATCTCAGGTGCTGTGTGGGACACAGGCAGAACCAGAGGAGAGGCGCCCTTATGAGGCACAGCCCAGTCAGCGTGCAACGCCAGGCCTGTCCCCTCGTATCGCTCCAATTTTGCGCATAGCTCACACACCACCCAGGGATGGCTCATGGCACCTGGCTCTTTTGGACCAAAAGAACTAACACCAAGGTTTCACAAGCTCTTGTAAATCAGATGGTTGCTCTGGTGCCGAAGCCGGAAGACCACCTCAGGAGAAAGTTGTGCGAGGAGCGTGGAAGCAGAGATTGCGGCACACTGAACAGGGCAGTGGTAGAAAGAGCCGTGCACCATGACCAGTAGGACTCATCCAGGGTGCAAGGAAGCTTGCATCCAAACCCAGTTAACGGAATTCCAAAATAAGACAATCAGAAGGACACAGCCTTGCACTGAGGTGTGGATCAGCAGTTCAGCACGTGCCTGGCATGTGTGAGACCCCAGCTTCCATCCGAGGTCCCCTGGGGCTGGGGAGAAGGAGCCACCGAGAGCTGGCGGTGGGGCGGGGGGTTCACTTTGTAAGATGAGAGAGTTCTGGAGACCTAGCTCACAGGGTGTGAACGCACTCAACTCTGCAGAACCACACGCACAAAAATGATTAGGGCAATAAATTTTGTGTTGTGTGAGGTTTTGCTTTGCTTCTGCTTTTGTTTTGCCTTGGAGTGCTGGGGGTGGAGCCAAGAGCTTCGCATGTACCCACTAAGTGCTGTATCCCTGAGCCACACCCCGAGCCCCGTTTTGTGTTTTTATCACAATAATAAAAATATAATAATAGTGTTCTCTGAAAACAGAGGTGGTTCAGCCTGTGACTGCCGCCTGGGGCTTTTCCTGGGAGAACCGGGGACTGCTCCGTGAAGCGCGCACTCTCCGCCTGCCTCGTGCTCCGTGGCGACCAAGCACTGGGCGCCTGTCCACAAGGCAGAGTTTCATAGAGGCCATAGGTTTGGGGCTGGGATGAAGCTCAGTGGCAGGTGCAGGTTGAGCCCTCGTTCCACCCCAGCACCCAACAATGATATTTCTACTTCTTTATGAAAGGGAGGCTGTGGTCCTCAGCTCAGAGGAGGCCACGGAGCAGCTTCCTTTGGTCACCCCAATCCTGTGCACCTGACACCAGCCAGCTCCATCAGGCCTCTTAGCTGTGCCCCTGAGACACAGCAGTGACACTGACGGTCAGCGCCAGGTCTGTCCTGGCCCCAGGTCATCCCCTGGGGTCCATCTGGGTGGAGGATCAGAGGGAGGCTGGCCTGAGGGCACGGTTGAGAAGCGCCTTGGGTGGCTGCAGGCTACAGGAGAGTCTTCTTCACGGAGTCCACGGGTCTGAAGCAGGCGGGCAGCTCTGGGCAGCCCTTCCTGCCTGGCCCAGCCCTGCTGGATGCCCATCCTTGCGCTCCCCAGCTGCGGCTCTGTCCCCCAGTCTCCCTACCACCGTCACCTACTTCTCTGTGTCCACATTTCCTTCTTATGGGCCCCGGGCATTGAACCAGGGCCCCACAGCCACATCATGACCGGGTTACATCTGCAAACACTCATTTCCAAACAAGGTCCCTTCCTTACTCCTCCTAGGGGACGCAGCTCAGCCCACAGGTGAATGCAGAGAATGGGGGATGCGAGGAGGGTCAGAGACACTGCCAGCTCCTCCCTTGGGAGACTCAGCTGGGCGTGAGGAGGCAGGCAGGGCAGGGTCTGGGGCCCATGGGCTGCTCAGAAGTAGTCAGGAGCTGGAGAGTGGGGCTGGCTGTCGGTCCACCAGCTGCCTGCCATCCGGACCTGCTGTGTGGAGTGGGCTCCAGTTGCCTCCCCAGCCAGTGAGGACCACTCAACCTGGCCAGCTCCAAGTGCTCTCCTGCAGGCCTTCGCTGGACAGGACCCCTTGGTATGGAGCACCTCCTCCTGGTCCCACCAGGCCAAACCCACACCTTGAGTCTCCAGGCGTGGGTGGAGCCCAATCCCCCACCTACTCCCCACCTCCCCACCTACTCCCACCCTGTAGGTTCCTGTTTGGTTTTTGGTGTTGTGGTGCTGCGGGATGAACCCAGGGCTCTGAACTTTTTGGTACTGGGATTTGAACCTCAACCCTTCTTATTTCTTATTTTGAGACAGGGCCTCACTTAAGTTGCAAAGGTTGGCCTTGAACTTGCAAACCTCCTGTCTCAGCCTCCAGAATGGCTGGGATTCCTGCTGTGGCCACTACTCCCGGATCCCCATAGATCAGAGTCCCAGGGCACTGACTATGTCCTTCCACCTCCCAGCTCATTTCTCAGTCAATGCATGAAGGAGCAGGAGTTCTTCATAAACTGAGCATCCTGCCAGGCCTCCCTGCCCATCCTCTAGAGAAGTCCCTTTTGAAACAAGACTAAATGGGAGGACGGGGCTGTGCTCAGGAGGGCTCTCCTGTGGCCCCAGGTTGGCATTCGCCTTGGACTTCCCAAGGCTGCTCTGGAGACCACACTCACATAAACTTGAGGGCAGGAGTGTGCCGAGGGAGGGCAGAGGCCCAGGTCCTCAGGGGAGGGCGGCCCAGCACACGCAAAGGAGCTGCTATCATACAGGGGCCTCGATGCCTTTCTTCCTTTACCATGTCTCTCTTCTTATTTGCAGTGAGGAGTAGAGAGGCCAGGCTGGCAGCCGCCTGGGAGGCAGATCTGTGCCCAGGACCCTCAACCCAGCCCTGTGGTGATTGTGCCCTGAGGGAGCACCAGGCACCACGGCCTGGCACGGCCAGCAGGTGGGCAGCCGTCCACAGGTAGCTTGGTGCGCTTCCTCGGCTGCGCTCCTGGAAGGCAGCCGTGAGTCCAGAGATCCGACCCTTGGAGGGTCGGGTGGAAGCCACGGGCCACCACCTGTCCCAAGGGTACCCAGACCCAACGCAGCTCTGCTTATTTGGTGTGTTGTTGGATTCTGTTTGGTTTTGCTCTGGGTGAGGGGCTGGAGCCTGGGTATCCCCTAAGGACGCTCTGTACTTGGCCCCTGGATCCCACACCCAGGTACAAGCATGGTGCAGGTCCATGGCCCTGGGGTTTCTGCAGGCCTCGGGTTCCCAGCCTTGGGTCAGGAACTCCCACACACTGGGTTAGCTTCCGTGGTGGCAACTGTGCCTGTCATGTGACAAGGGCTCAGGACCAACAGAAACTACAGGGTGCTCAAGTGACCTCGAGTGTCATGGTACCACCTTGGGCCCAGCTCTCATCACGGCTGGCTCCCGCCCTGCCCTGCCACCGTGAGCGCTCGAGGTGCCAGGCATCCTCTGGTAGGGAGAGGGCCCCGGCAGGACTAGGGGAGAGGGCTGTGGTGGCAGGGCCATCGAGATGATCCCTCCCTCCCTGCAGTGGCCCCTGCCCACTTTAGGCTCTGGGCCTTCTCTCCAGTGTGCCCTGCCCAGTGAGACCCAGCTGGAGAGATCTGCAGACACAGAGGACTGTCCCCTGAGCCACCAGCCGTGCCCAGCCCCCCGCCTTGAGGGGCTGTTGGGACGGTGCTGAGAACCTCTGGGAGCCAGTGCCTCAGCCTCACGCCCACCTCAGACTCCTGGTGTGAACTCTTCTGCCCCACAACAGCCATCTGTGCACAGAGGGTTCTAGGGAGGGGTAAGGAGGGCAGAGAGGGAGGTGGCCCAGGATGTGCCTTTCCGGCACTTACCTGGATCAAGAGCCAGGCAGGAAGCTTTTGAGAACATTGCTCAAGAGCAGAGGAGACCGGGTGGGAGGGGGAACAGGGGCCTGCTCGGCTTCCCGCCACAGCCCAGAGAGGCAGGATGGGGGGAGCCTCAAAGCCCCCCTGTCTGGAGGGAGCTGTGCCTGGGCCAGGGGCAAAGGGAGCAGCAGCTGGCCCTGAGGAGGCCTAGGCGGGTGGAGGTCCTGGGCGTGTCCTGCTGGGAAGAGGCTGACCAGGCGTGGAGGGCTCTCCAGGGAAGGCAAACACTGCTCCCTGTGCTCCCATGCCCATCCCCAGCCCTCTCCCCAGCTATAAAAGCCCGCCCGAGCAGGGCGCCCTGCTGCAGGGGCCATGGCCACGTCACGCCTGCTGCTGTGGCTGCTGCTGCCCACCCTCTGTGGCCCCAGCACTGGTGAGTCCCGTGCCCTCCTCTTGGAGCCCCCTGCCACTCACTGAGCCTGGCTCTGAGCCCAGGTAACCCAAGTCCATCCATAATCTTCACTTAAGGACAAGTCAGCTGAGGTCCAGAGAGGCCCCTAGGCTTGGCCAAGGTCACAGAGCTGGTGGGTTCTGCAGTAGGGAACCAGAGTTGTCCCACATGTCTGTTGGCCATGAATTCCCAGAAAAATTGAGCATGAGAAAAGTTGGGTGAAGTCCAGGCACCAGTGTATCCTGGGTCCTGACCAAGATTGCTCTGGCCTCCACTGCAGCTGTGGAGACCACCTCATCCCTGGCCTGTGCCCAGGGCCCCGAGTTCTGGTGTCAAAGCCCGGAGCAAGCACTGCAGTGCAAGGCCCTGGGACACTGCCTTCAGGAAGTCTGGGGACATGCAGGAGCCGTGAGTACCACCCACAATGTCCTGGAGGTCTGGGAAGAAGGTGCTGGATGGGCTTAAGGGGATTGGAGCCCTGATAGGTGATGGGATTGGTGGGTGGGATGAGATGGAACTGGGGAGGATGGCATAGAATGGGGCAAAGAAGGACGGCTGGGATGGATGGATGGATGGGATGGGATGGAATGGATGGGATGGATAGATAGGATGGATGGGTGGATGGGTGGATAAGTGGGATGGATAGATAGGATGGGTGGATAGATAGGATGGATGATGGATAAGTGGGATGGATAGATGGGATGGATGGGTAGATAAGAGGGATGGATAGATGGGATGGATGAATGAATGGGTGGATAGATAGAATGGATGGGTGGATGGGTGGATAGATGGGATAGATGGATGGGTGGATAGATAGGATGGATGGGTGGATAAGTGGGATGGATAGATAGGATGGATGAATGAATGGGTGGATAGATAGAATAGATGGGTGGATGGGTGGATGGGTGGATAGATGGACTGATGGAATGGATGGATGGGTGGATAGATAGGATGGATGGATGGATAAGTGGGATGGATAGATGGGATGGATGGGTGGATGGATGGAGAGATGAATGGACAGAGAGACAGATGGACAATGGGCTCAATGAGTGGGACTGGGCAGGATGAAGTGGGAAGCTGTCTGCGCCTTAAAAGGCCCCCTCAGCCTGTGTCTGAGAGTGCCTCATTCCGTGGAGCTGGGAGCACTTCCCCACTCATGGGCCCCACCTTGGGACTCCTCCCCAGGATGACCTGTGCCAAGAGTGTGAGGACATCATCAACATCCTCACAAAGATGACCAAGGAGAACATTTTCCAGGTGATGAGGCCCAGATCCTGGAGGAATGTGGGCAGAGGGGCAGCTCAGGGCATTTCCAGGCTGAGGGTGAGGCCTGAGGCACCAAGATCCTCCTGGCCAGGCCCAAGCCATAGCATGGAGCTTGGCCAAAGCCAGAAATGGTTGTTCCTGGGCAGGGAGAAGCCCTCCATGTGCCCAACCGTTTACTCCTTGGCAGTTTCAGTCCCAATGCCCCGGGAGAAGTGGAATCAGTCTGCCCTGGGTGGTGGCCATGTGGGATTGGAGCAGGTACAGGCCTCAGAGAGGCCAGCTGACCTTCCATTCCCTCCTCCCAGAAAACCATTCGGAAATTCCTAGAGCGTGAGTGTGATGTCCTCCCCTTGAAGCTGCTCGTGCCCCAGTGCCGCCACGTGCTGGATAACTACTTCCCCCTGGTCATTGACTACTTCCAGAGCCAGATCGTGAGCGCCCAGACCTCCCACCTACCTGCTCTGCCAACATGGCCCCCGGGGCCACCACAACCAATCACCCAACCCAAAGCACCCCAGGCAACTCCAACAGCACCATGGAACCCCAGATAGACAGACAGGCAAACACACACACACACACACACACACACACACAGAACCTCAGACCACACACACTCACCCCCAACGAGGAGATGAAGCATCCTCAGCCAGGCAGGTGGAGGGTGCCCACCTGCTCAGACCCACACACACTAGGCCTGCCTGCTCTCACCCGTGTGTGTGCACACACTAGGCCTGCCCTCACCCCGTGTGCACGCACATTGCCTTGCATGTGAGCTCATGCTCACTCACACAGGATCCCAGACACCCCATCCCCATACACCCCACCTCTGCCCTTTTTCCCCCCGCACCCAGCCTGCTCCCCACCATTCTAAGCCCAAAGAGTGGCTCTAGGCCCTGAGCCCTGGGGCCAGCCTGAGTGGGAGGGGGTTCCCTCCAGGCCACCAGCCCCTCACCTGCACTGTGCCCTAGACCCCAAAGGTCATCTGCCAGCACCTGAGCCTGTGCCAGCACAGGCAGCCTGAGCAGGAGCCTAGGATGCCAGATCCTCCACCTGACCCTGTGCTGGACGCTCTGCCAGATAAGCTGGCCCTCCCCGTGCTGCCAGGGGCCCTCCTGGACAGGCTTGGGCCTCATACACAGGTGAGGGAGGCCAGCCATGGCCAGTTAGCTGGGGTGCAGAGGGGCAGCTGAGACCCAAGGCACTTGGGCCTGGAGGGGCAGAGCCAGGGACAGATGAGGAGCTCCAGGCAGGGCCTGAGCCGGGGGTGGGGGAGGCGAGACTTAGAGGATGGTGGCCTCGGCCAGCCACAGCCACCTCCCTGGCTCTCTCCCCAGGAGCTCTCCCAGCAGCAGTTCCCCATCCCCCTGCCCTTCTGCTGGCTCTGCAGGACTCTGATGAAGCGGGTGCAGACCATGATCCCCAAGGTGAGGCGCCAGGGCCTCACGCAGGAGCTCCATCTCACTGCCGCCAGGTTAAGCAGAGCCACCTATGCTCCGCCCACCCAGGAGCCCAGGCTCAGGTCCCACTGTGCCCTGGCACTCCTGCAGGTCACTAACTGTGGCGGGTCCCGGCTGTCTGTGGAAGACACTGCAGTCTCTCAGTAGGAGAGTCCCCACAGATAGGTGCCCATCCTGCCATGTCCAGCCTGAAATCTTCCACATCAGCAGTGGCCTTTGCCCTCTGGCTTCACCAGTCATTCCCAAATGGGGTCCTGCAGGCCATTGGTCACTGAGAGACTACAGCAGTGGACAAGCTTCCTGCTGTCCCAAGCTTGGCCGAGGGGTTGGAGAACAGAGTTGGTATGGCCCATTGAGACACCGTTAAGCCAAGTCAAGAGAAAGGTTTGGGGCTCGGGAGGAGCCTGGCACGCAAGGCCTGGGTCTGACCCCAGCACCACGAGGAGGAAGGGGCTAGCCTTGTTGTGAGCGCACCCACTGCTTGGGCAGCACTTGGAACAGGACAGAGCCCTCCCTCCTGCTATGGGCGAGCAGCAAGGACGTTCACCCATCAGGAGGGAAGGAGGCCCGGCCAGGGACAGTGCCAGTGGGACCCTGATGACAGGGATGCTGGCTCACCTACCTTGTGGTTAGGAGCAAGCGGGTGACATGTGACCCTGGGGAACTGCCAGGGCCCAGCTTGCCCCAGCTTGTGTGGAGTCGGGATGAGGAGGAAAGCAGCTAACTTTCCCAGGGGCTCCCCAAACAGGGGCCTGTTGGCTAGAGGTAGGGCCATCTGCTGTTGAGGGGTTCCTGTGGGGAAGGGTAGTGAGCCCTGGTCAGGAGGGAGGAGGCGTGGCTCCCAGCTGGCCAGGCAGCGACCCTGGCGATGCCCTCCTCTCTGGCAAGCCATGCCTCTTCCACTGAGTCTGAGCCAGACCCGGGTCCATCGCAACTGCTGCTCTGACCACAGAGCACTCTGACCAGTGCCCCCATGTACACCTCGTGAGCTGCCTCTTGCGTCCTCACCTGCAGTCACCCTCCCTCCTAGAGGGAGGGCATGTGCAGGAAGGCCACGCTGGGACAGGGAGGCCCACATCACCCTCTCTCGGCCCACCCCAGGGAGTGCTGGCCGTGGCTGTGGCCCAGGTGTGCCACGTGGTACCCCTGGTGGTGGGCGGCATCTGCCAGTGCCTAGCCAAGCAGTACACCATTCTCCTTCTGGACGCACTGCTGGGCCGCATGCTGCCCCAGCTGGTCTGCGGCCTGGTCCTCCGGTGCTCCAGTGAAGATGGCGCTGGCCCAGGTGAGTCGCCGCCCACCCTGCCCTCTCAGGCTCTGCGGCCCAGGCCGCTCCCTCCCTCTCTGGTCTAAGGACAGGACCAGACATTCTGCAGGGCAGACCTGACTGCTTCCTCTGCAGCCCTCCCTGCTCTGGGCTCCCTGTCCGACGAATGGCTGCCGCCAGCCTCCCAGTGCCAGCTCTGCATGTCCGTGACCACCCAGGCCTGGAACAGCAGCGAGCAGGCCACGCCACAGGCCATGCGCCAGGCCTGCCTCCGCTCCTGGCTGGACAGGGAGAAGGTAGGAGGAGCCAACCAGAGCAGCGCAGCCAGGCTGGCTTCCAGGGACACGGGGCCCAGGTCCTGTCCGCCGTGGGCAGCCGAGCCCAGAAAGCCTTTGTGGCCAGAGATACAGGATGGGCTGGGCTGGAGCCCAGCCGGGCATCCAGGACGTGGTTGGAAACAGTGGTCTGTGATGGCTTCATAGGCCAGAGCTGCTGAGGGTCAGATGTCTTCTCTGGACAAAAGGCCACAACTCCCAGGACCAGGAGTCCCTGCCTGGGTCAAGTGCCAGGCGAGTCCTGCCAGCCCAGGAGGGCCTTGCCCAGGGAAGCCCATGCAGCTCTCAGCCCTGCCCAGGAGTGCTGGCTGTAGGGGAGGCCCAGGTGTGCCACGTGGTACCCAGGATACTCCTAGTGCTGGGCAGCATCTGCCAGGGCCTGGTAGACTCCAAGTGACCAAGGCCAAAGCTGTAGCTGGGAGAGGACCCTGAGAGACCCTGGCCCTGCCCACCCATCTCTCGGGCAGTTTAGCTGAGACTAGTCACCTGCACATGGAGAGGGCGGGGGCCTCTGCCAGTCCTTCTCAGTGCCCCTGGCTTCCCTGACAGAAGCCCTCTATTCCACACCCTCTGCCCTGCTCCCAGCAGCCAGAGCTGCTGGGGGCTGGTGCCTGGACCTGCACCAGGGCCCAGAGGGAACCGAAGAGGCCCAGAAAGGCGGGAGCCAGGACTCTGAGGAGGGAGGTGCTGCCTCAGGCCTGGGTCACCCCCTGCCTCTGTCTTTCCTCAGTGTGAGCAATTTGTGGAGCAGCACATGCCCCAGCTGCTGGCCCTGGCGCCTCGGGGCTGGGATGCCCACACCACCTGCCAGGTACCTGCCCCTGTAGCTGGCCAGGACTTCTCAAAGCCCCCAGAGCCCCCACTCTCCTGGATCAGGAGTGACATGGGCCAAGATGAGGCGCCTGTGTTCTCATGCAGAACAGGCCTTGGCCTAGAAGAAGCCGAGAAAGTGTCATGGGAGATGGGGGCTGTGTCAGGCTCGGCTGCAGCCCTCCTTGACTGGGCTACAGCTGCTGGCCTGCAGCCGCTGGCCAGTGTGCTTGGCGAGGGCCCCGGTGGGTGTCCTGGGCCAGCAGCCTCCTCCTTAGCTCTAGGCCTGCAGGCAGTGGCTCGGGGAGTGGCCTGGGTCTACTAAGTCACACGAGGGTGGCATGAGAAGGCAGATCAGCACTGCCCCTATGTCCCGGAGCCAGGAGTGAGGCACTGAAGTCCCAATTCTGTCCCTGTGGCAGGCCTTGGGGGTGTGTGCCACCACGTTCAGCCCCCTCCAGTGTCTCCAGAACCCCCTCTTCTGAGGACCCAGCCTCCAGGTGAGTCTTGACCTATGTGGGGGAGGGAAGGGCAGGGGCTGCCACGGGGCAGTGAGAGGTAGCCACTCCTGCAGGCGGTTCCAGCCACCTCTGGGCATAGCTCTGGGCACAGCGCCAGGCCCCACCAGGAAGAGGCCCTTCTCAGGGGAGGCCACCCTCCCTTCAGAGCCCTCGCCCCCTGCCCTGAGCAGCCCTCCTCCGCTCTGCCTGGGCCTTCAGACCAGCTGCCTTTGGGACCTGATGTACTCAGGCCAAGACAAGGTGTCCCAACCTCAGGGGAATCAGCTTTGCCTCCAGAGGCTGCCGCCCCTCAGAGCCAGGAACACTACAGCCATCTGAGTCCACGGGCTTGAAGTCCCTCCTCTCCCCCCACCATCCTTTCCCAAGTCAAAGGTAGTACATGGGATGGAGGGTGGCCCCAATGACCTTGAGAGCAGGAGGGTCCTCATGCATTTCACCACTCGCTCTGTAAGAAGGCAGGGAGGGCCTGTGGCTGGCGAGGGCTGCTGGCGAGGGCTGCAGCCCAGGTCATGCGGTGAGGCGGTGAGGCCCGCCCTCCTCCAGGAGAGGAAGAAGCCCAGCCTACCCTGGAGCCCTGGTGTCACGTGCACTTGGGGCATGTGCCTGGACCCAGACCTACCTCACAGGGGTCAGCTTAATAAATCCCTCCCCACCAGTGATGGCCAGGGACCTTGGAGGGGCCACCAAAGAGAGGGACAGAGCATTCCCCAGAGCTGCCACTGAAACAGAAAGAGGCCTGGCTGCAGCCCCAGCTCTGCCATCAACTGTGGCGGGTCCCCTGGCAAGATACAGGTCCCCCCTAGATGTCCCCCTCCTTAGGGCAAAGGAGGAAGCGGGTGAGGGTCTCTAGCCACCGTGGCAAGGCTCCTTGTGGCCCTGCCCTTCCAGCTGCCCTGGCTGGAAGGAGCTTCACCCCACTCGCCTTCCCCTGCAAAGTGACACTGGTGGACCACCAGCCAGAGTGGTCCAGCCCTGGCCCCAGCCTGACACCACAGCCACTCTGTGCTCAGTAAGGCCAGCAAGAACAGTGTCCTCTGGACAAGGTCTGCAGAGGCTGCTTCTGACCTTCACAGCACCAGAGCCAAGCCAGCTCCCACTGCTCAGGGCGGTGGAGGGGGAACATCGCAGCTCCAGGACAGCTGAGCAACTGGGCCAGTCCACACTGACCCCCACGTGCTCAAGACCAGCGTCTTGTTTGTCAACATTTCCAAGAAGTTCAAAATTCAGAATAAAATGGGATCATAATGTACTCTGATAAACTCACAAAATCCTTACATTAGGCTTTTTAAAAATAAATCAGGAAACCCTTGGCTTGTGCAAGGTGGATACTCCATGCCCTGGGTGACGGGAGGTGACTGGGCAAAATTCCGTGTCGGAGACGCTCTGCCTGCGAGCAGCTGCTTTGTAGGACAGGGATTTCTGGGCTGGGTATGGCTGGAGGTAGCCTGGAACACATCCTGGGTTCAACCCCCCAGAGCAAAATGAGAGAGGGTTTTCATCTTTTTGTAAGAACTTCCCAACTTTTGTTCAAAGTTCCAAGGGTGATTCTATTTTTGCTGTGACTTAAAAAAAAAAAAAAAATACTTTTAGTTACAGATGAACACAGTGCCTTTATTTATTTTCACGTGGTGCCAGGGATGTAACCCTGTGCCTCACACATGCTAGGCACGCGCTCCACCACTGAGCCCCAGCCTCAGCCCTTCTGCTGTGACTATTCTGCTCAAAACTCAGCAGGGCAGTGCAGGCAGGCTCAGATCCTGCGTGGCCACACCCTAACACTGCCAATAAAGCCCTATGCACTGGCATGATCCGGGCCCTGTCCTGGAGGTGCTCTGGGGTTGCAGCCCCCCGGAGGGGGCCGCCAGGACCCCCCCCCCCCCCCCGAGCGAGTAGGCACCCCATCTCCATCTCCTGCCTTTCCAGCAGCCTCCTGCCTGGCCTCCACCTGTGTCCTCCCCTCCCCAAGGAGCCCAGGCACTGCAGGAGCTGAGGGACCCCACAGCAGGATGCACATTCTGCCTCTGGCTTGGGGCTTTCTGAGTCTGTCCTGGGCCTCCTCCATCCCACTGTTCAGGCACCAGGACAGGCTCTGCGCATCCTGCTCTTGGGCCAGGCATGAGACACAGGCCTCTGCATCTGAGTGGAGGCAGCCTTTGGTAAACTCATCACAATCCTGGGCCTCCTGGGAGGACGGTGCTGGAGTAAGCAGAAGCAGCAGCAGCAGCAGCAGCAGCTGAAGGACAGAGTGTTAACTGTTTCAGGTCTGGCGAGGAAGCCGAGGCTAACTCCAGCTGAGACAAGAAACAGGTGGAGTGGCCAGCAGGAGGAGAGAACTCAGAAAATCGCTTCCCCAAGACTGAGGACTGAACAAGGGTGCTCTCTCACTGAGCTGCATCCCCTGCCCTTCTTTTGACACAGGCTCTTACAAGTTGCAGAGTCTGGGATCACAGGTGTGTGCCATTGTGCCTGGCTTTGTGTTTACTGTCCACTTACATGTTATACACACACGATGATCCACTTGTTGACCGTTTGTGACCGTTTTCCCATCTTTATGTAGCTACAAGTTGTTGGAAGTTAACTTTATAACCTCATCTTCAGATAACAGGATACAGTATGATGGTGACTGGATGTGGGAGTAACAACAGTGACACCCCCCCCAGGACTGCGTCTCATTTTGGGTACAGGTGAAGACTGTTTGCTCACGAGAAGGGCAGATGTGTTATGCAGAAATGCAGAACCTCCACCTTTGTTGTGCAAGAACTCAGTTACAAGCAGGAGTGCGAGCGCATATGGAAGCTGAGCTGTCCAGCGAAGACCTGCCAGTCAGCAACTCACCACCCCTCACTTCCAAATGGCTCTCTGGGCCTCTGCTGTGAAAAGAGCCCTTTAGGTTTTCCTTAGAGAGCTGACATACAGGCTTCGTCAGAAGAGGGCTTTGCAGATCCACGGGAAGGGCAGACTCCGGTGGTGCTAGTAGATTCTCCCTCCACAGCTGCTGAGGGGCATAGTGGCCCCACCTGACCCTCCCCTCCCGGGACAGTCCTGTTAGGGTGCCTTGGAGGGACACCACTGCGAATGGCTTTCCCCAAGTGCTACAAAGCAGAATTTTAGTATTCTGAGGTGCACATGTTCTACACGTGTTTGGAACCACACTTGGCCCCAATTCTCAGCAAGGCCACAGGCGCTCTCAAACTAGAGACAGCGGCTCCTCCCATGTCTGCGGCTCTTCCCACTAGGCAAACCCTGGTCACTCCCACCTGCTACCGTTATGAATCATTGGAATGAAACCCTCCTTGACCAGACTGTGCTGTGGCTCCACTCGCCTGACTGGGCCCAGCCCAGCTGGACCTACACAAAGCCCCTGCTACCCACAGGGTGGCAGAAGATGACAGGTGAAACTGCCAGGACACAGCAACAGCAGACGAGGGGCAGGAGGGCTGTCCAGGGTGACTCCTGGGCCATCTCCAGCTGACGTAACGAGGAGTGGTGGGATCTTTCACCCAGGACACACTGGAAAGGGGCTGTTTGAGAGAAAACCACACAAGCTCAGTTTTGAAAATGTTCAGTGTGAGTTGATTTTAACACACCCCAAACTGTATCAAGTAGTCAGCTGGCTCTAAAGATAAGAATTTAGCCAGGTGTGGTGGTGCCCTCTTGTAATCCCAGCCACTAGGGAGGCTGAGGCAGGAGGATTGAGTCTGAGACCAGTCTGACAACGTTTTTCCTAAAACAAAACATAACAAACCTTAGAGAAGCTCTGGGTAAGGTTTGTTCATGAATCATGCTTTTAACATGACAAGCGAGGCCACAGGCAGAGTTGAAATGGCCCAGAAAGTAAACGATGAGGAGAAGGCCTAGGGGGGTCCTAAGGGATCCCCGCTTCTAACAGTGGAAGATATGAGCCTCAACAGGATTCCCAAGGCTGCCAGCGAGGTAGGGGAAGGAGGACAGTGCCGGGCACAGCAAGCGTGCTTGTGGCTCCGCGGGAGCGGCTGGCTGCCCACCACTGTGTACAAGGCTCCCTGCTCCCGTGGACCTACAGCAGCACCCAGGTCCAGCCGCCAGGCCCACCTGCAAGGCCATGTCTGCCTGAGCTCCCGACTGGCAGTCCTGCTCTGGGCGCTGCGCTGGCCTGGCCGAGGCTTTCTGAGAACTCCCTCAGAGGGCTGAGCTGCAGTCTGGACCTCCCACCCAGCCTCAAGTCCAGCACAGTAACAACTTGTCACTTCCAGACTTAGAGAAAAACGCATCCCAGGTGACACCACCTTCGAGTGGGCAGGAGGAGACAGGAGGGTGTCCGCCAGATGACAGGCCGCAGCACAGGCAGTTAGTGAAGACGGGAAAGGAGGCAAGTCAGCCTCCCTCCGCCAGCAGCGGGTGACGCACATAGGACAGAAGGCTGGCTTAAAAACAGAGAATTTAATCCATCCAAAAACCCATAGGACCTAAGGGAACCACAGAGAACTACCTCCCTGGAGGAGAAGGCGTGACTGGCTTCATGATATGACTCCCACAACCCTGAGGCTCGTCTACGAGGAAACATCCACCCTTCAGTGCACCAGCTGCTAAAGAGAAAGGACAGCCACCTGCAAAGCACTCAGCCTGCTGCAGCTGAGAGGACGGCAGGAAGGAGGGAGGAGCGCTTTCTACAGGACTGGTGGAGGGCCCCTCAACGTGTGGTGTAGCCAGGACCCACGGCACCTGCAGCCTGCCTCTGCTCGGCTCCACTTCGGTCCTGTTCACTGGGCTGTCCTCAGGGGGAAGCTGGCCCGCCTCACGCCCCCTGTTGGTTGGTCTCCCCGGCATCCCGCCTCTTCCATATCTGTCAGGAAAGAGGACATTTCTCCATCCGCAGTGGGCAATTGGCACCCAACCACGCGTCGGCCACCATCACCGGCCAGGACATTCCTTCAGTCCCTATTCCCCCACCCCACCCAGCCTCTCCTCTTCTTACCTTCCATTCA